CGTCAGTTTCGTCTCCCTCCCGTCCTGATCAGTGTTCCGTAAAAAGTATCATATTTTGGAGATGGATCAGGATTTAAGTCTGTGCCTCGGAATAAAAGGGACGCGGCGACGCTCCTCGATGTCGCAATTCGTACTTTCTAAGTTATTCAGAGCGAAGTTTTACTCAAAACGAGTGAAAATTCACACTCGAGGCCCACCATTGTGTAAACACCGTCGGGATTGTCGGAGAGATTGAGTATGTCACTCGACTTGAAGTGGATTCTCACTTCGTACGAATAAATTTGTCAATCAATTAATTTATATTTCTATCAGTTAAATTATATTTGTGAGATAACGGAGCCCATCATATTCACCCTTCGACTTTGAGCAAAGATACTTACTCGACGATTCAGAGTGTAAAATCTACCCTGTATGAACAAAATATCACTCGAACTTGAGCGTCTCATCTCTGTCACTCCGCTATTCTCGAGTGAAACTTCATGCTAAGAAATTTCGACGGTGTAATTCATCGCTCTCTTGTTGGTCATTTTATACTTATTAAACGTTAAACGAACAAACAATTAATTTCCGACGCGATGTCACGCGTGACAACGATCGAAGATTGTCATTATTGAAATATATTATTATGCTTCGGCGTCATAATTCACCCCTGACTCTTCCTCGCGGAAGAACGACGGTGCAAATAATACGCACTTTTCCGAATGCACGTTCGCTGCAATTTCGTCGATATTCTCGTGGAGCAGTTCACCCTGTCGTGAAGTTATCCAGCGGACGACCAAGTGGAACGAGAGTGATGCGGAAGCACGAGAGGGTTCCCGATGCGAGGTAAGTAAAGGACACTCGGTAAGGTAGCGGAATTGAGAACTAAATGTTTGATAGCTGCGAGAGTTTCGCCAGCGAGAGAGCAGCTGATACCGGTTCTCGATCCCGATGTCTTCTCATAACAAGTAGATTGAAACTCCTCAAAACGATTAATCAAATCGCGCACAAGGAATATAGGTGGAAATTTCTACCTCGACCGTATGATATATTCTATTTCGCATCGACAGAGAAAGATGAATAAATATATCAAAATAGACGCTTTTATCGTCCGTCGAAGGACGTCCCAAACGTTGAGGTCATGGCGCGTATGACGGGACGAAAACAGAACCGCGAAAAATCAGCAATAATAAAATTGAAAAAATAATAGGAAACGAGGGACGAAAGAAAAAAAAAGAAACCAACTAAAACACGCAGCGCACAGAAATCGATAAAGCGTCCGGTTCGGCGAGTTCGCGAAACATTTTATGCCACAATAATAACAGCGGAATAAAAAGGAAAGAGAGCATTTAGATTTCCCTGGACCGAAACGTGTTCGACGAGATCGGGTGAGGCAGGAAGGGACGGGGGGGGACGTTAAAAATATTCGGCCGTCTGTGCGGGAGGGAAAATCGAAAGCTGTAAATTACACGTATCGATTTAATTCGTGAAAATTTTACCGGGCCGCCCACGGAACTCGCCGGCGTTAATATTTAAAGGACGCACGGAGGGTACACGGGAGGGAAAAAGGGATTCGGCCGCTCCCGTGAGAGTTCCGGACGGCGCCAAGCGCGCCGCGGAGAACGTATCTCGGGAAATATACGGGTCTCGTCCGACGAGCGCTTCAAGCGGGGCGGCCCGTCGGAACAACCGACGACGGGGGTTGGAAGCGAGAGAGAGAGAGAGAGAGAGAGAGAGAGAGAGAGAGAGAGAGAGAGAGAGAGAGGTTGGCAGTGCACACAAGTCCGTCGGAAAATTGTGCCTACGTGCGAGAGTCGTCCGCGAGACATTCGATCCGGCCGGCGGCTACGTGCGTCGGCTCCTGGACGAAACTGCCCCGGAACGGAATAAAAATCCTCCGTCAAGAGGGCGAGAAAGGATGTCGCGAATTCTCTCGCGCGTTCCGTACTTGCGATTAAATTCCCGGCGGGTGTAAACTCCGATCGACGTGCGTGGCCACCTCTGCCCCTTCTCAGCGCACTGCCGCGCGAGACTTAAGATAAGCGATGACGAGCGCGCGCGCGCGCGCGATGGCGGCTCATTAATATTCATCGCTTAGGGACGTGTTCGAAAGTACAGAGGCGAATATCGTGCCACGGCGACGTTATGGAACTGATAACGCGCGCCGGGTTTCTTACTTACGCGCGGCGATTGAGTGTTGTAGATATCGCGAACGTGAATGAAAATGAGAAGTCGGCTGCCTTTGTCTCTCTCTCTCTTTCGCGCGCGCGCGCGTTGAAAGGGGCGCCGATAATTCTCCACGACGGCGAATTTTCTGAAAATCAAGGCGGAAAATCGGCAGCCCGCACGCTCAATGGTGCTCTACGAGCGAGACGTCGTTTTCCAGGTGGCCGTACGCCAACGATTAGCATTGCAAATTTGCCGTTTCAACGCGCGCTGATAGAGCTACCTTCTCACGACACGGAGAATCTCTCTCTCTCTCTCTCTCTCTCGCTCTCGCTCTGTCTTTCTCTCACCACGCGACGAGCGAAGTGACGGATTTCGCAAGTCACGTGCGTTCGCTTTTATCACTCGGTGATTCCTCGTTAGGAAGCTCTCGCATTTCTGCGCGAATTAACACCTATACTACGTTAACGCGGCTCACCTCCCAATTCCTCCGGAAAGTCTCGACTTTGAACAGCTTGGATCTAGCGACGAGCTCGCGAACGCACTTCCAAACTTCCGATCTGCGAAACATGTCGCTTGTCGTCGTTCTGCAAAGAGCACATAAATGAAAGGAATCGAAGGCGACGGAAACTTTGTCGAATTAAAGCAGAACATTCTCATACCGTGTCGATTGCACGTTGATTACACTCGCATGGGGGAATGAATTTCGAAAGATCGATAGACCGACATTTGCCGTGTTGAGCGTCGAGAGAAGATCACTTCCTCTTCGTCTAATGGCGTCTCTTCCGTTTGAGTCGGCCGTCGACTCACGCAGATCGCGACATCTATGTTGCGACGAACTTCACGGCTTATCCGATAACCAATGGGAAAGTTTATCTTCTGGATATTCCTAAGGAGAGCAATCCTCTCTCTCAATGGATACCGACCCATTGCGAGATTCATTAAGTTAAAAGCGCTCTCTCGCATTCGCTAATGACTTCTAATCGCTCGCGTATCTAGATATAACATGACTGCGGTTTATTGATGAAGTCGGTGCGTCGCGGCGCTCGATAATTCTTTTGCAATACCGTCTCTCTGAGATACGGTAAACATTGATCGTGAATGCTATTGATCGCGTACATTGCAACGTTATTTTTCAGCGAATAATGTTCACGATTTACCGTATCTGAAAGACGATATTGCAAAAACTCCCTATTATAACGCCCGATCTATCACGATATACCGCCTGATGAACAATCGGTCTTTTTCGAAGAACTTTTCAACTAGTGCACACTAGTGCAATAAGTCAGAATGAGAGAAAAAAAACATATCTGTTTCGCTCCAACTTATTGCATTAGTTCAGAAGTTGTTCGAAAAAGAACAGACCTAAAACATGATGTACGCTACGTCAAATTATCGCAGCGACAGATTAATCGAATAATCACAGGCGTGATAAAATATGCCCGCGCATACATTCGAACGATTGAAGAGCCCAACGACTGTTTCAACCTAACCTAATATTGAGTCCTTTCTTCCTCGAGGCTCTATCGAACTTCGTCAAAAACGCAACAGACCGTGTTTCTTCAAGGCTCGCTGGTAACATGAGCGACCTGTCGGTGTTTCACCCGTCTGGCTTTTTTTTATGTGACTGCGCGCAAGCAAGAGGGAGGATCTGCGAGGAAACTACGAGGAAAATTATTCAGGAACGCGCGCAGGGACGGAATGGCCGTCGCGACGTCGAGCAGCTATTTAAATATGTACCGGGAACGTGACCGCCGCGGGTTCATGTTCGTTCCTCGACCGAATTGTTTTCCCCCGGAGTGTCACGCGCTCGTGCCACGAACGCCGCCGTGTTGTATAAATCCGCGGAGGGAAACAACAGGTCCGCCGTTCTCGCGACGTATCGCGAAAAATCCAGACCCGCGACGATTCACCGCGCCGGCCATTTTCTTCCTCCATTTCTCTCCACTTCGCGCGAGTCACCAGACTTACGTTCGCCTCGTCCGTTTACGATCGCGAATCAACGCCAAGTCACAGATCGACGGATACGGATGATCAGTATAACTCAGACAACGCGGACTTCCAAAAGACGTACCGCTTCTTTCAGGGACGTCTTTTCGAGGTTAAGAACAACGGCCAAATTAACAAACTAACCCTGTCGAGCGGGACGTTTCTCCGGAGTTCCACGTGTCCACGACGGGCGACGGGGTTAACTCCTCATTAGATTCTCCTAGATTCCTCCGAGAGAAAGAGGAAAGAAACTGTGCTCGAGAAAGAGTCCAGCGATCAGGCCGGAGCGGACGATCTTTTTGAGGTTAAAAACAACGGCTAAATTAACAAACTGACCCTATTGAGCGGAACGTTTCTCCGGAGTTCCACATGTCCACGACGGGCGATGGGGTTAACTCCTCATTAGATTCTCCCAAAGATTCCTCCGAAAGAAAGAAGAGGGAAAAAAAGCCGTGCTCGGGAAAGAGCGATCCAGGCCAGCGCGGACGGTCGTTTCGAATTGAATTTCGGGCCGGCGCGGCGACGGGCAGGAAGCCATGCGAGGGTCACGGTCGTACGACAGATAGAGGGTCGCGCGCTCCGACTCGTCGTCGTGGCTCGGTGGCGCGGCGTGGCGCATCGATGCACCAGCTTCCTCGACTCCGCGCCCATAGGTGTCTCCCCCGCGCGCTGTTGCACCTCGCCTGTTCACGGACGCAGCAGGCTGCAGGAGGCGCAGCGACGGCGCTTACGTTGAATTCCTCGCGAGGTCGCGAGCCACTCGTCGCGGTATTGGCGGCAAGGAGCCAAACCGCGACGTACGAGATCACTCGTATGACGACGACGACGGTAGCAGCAGCAGCTTCTGCTATCGGTGCTGCGTGACGACGGTGGCGGTGGTAGTGGTGGTAGTAGTGGTGCGAATATACGCGATTTCGGAAAATTAATGCCGCGCGACGCCGGCTCCGGGAAGAGGGAGAGGTCGAGAGCAGCGAGGAGGACAGGGAGAAGGTGAAAGTGAGCTCCGACGGCGGCGGTGGTATAGTGGTGGTAGCGGCGACGGTAACGGTGTATAACCTAAAAATAAGTCCTCTCCCCGTCCGTTCGCCCGTGACTACGCGTGATCGTCGTTGTTATTGTCGTCGTCGTCGTCGTCATCGTTGTCGTCGTCGTCGTCGTCATCGTCGTCGTGGTTGTCGACACTGACCGCAGTGTACCGTAGCCGACGAGGATTCTCGTGCTCGCACGACACTCTGCGCTGTTTTCGTCCGCACGCACGTACGCACGCACGCGACGTACCCGCGCTCCGCTCCTCTCGAGGCATGTCCTCCGCGCCTGACATGACAGTGTCGACGTCGTCGACGTGCTCGCTGAACGAATGACTTCGCAAAACGACCGGCTGCAGCGGGAAGCGGACATGGAAACCTGCTATGAAGCGGGGGAACACACCGTTCCCGACAGCATAGTGCCGCGGAAATCTTGGTCCGAGCTCAGGGCCGTCGTCAGCGATCTCCGAAGGAAGTTGTCGGGAGTGTCTGCGGGCTCTGTGCCCGGATCCATAACCTTTCGATCTCTTCCGGACGGCCGGTGAGAACTCGCTTAACTCTTAAGAGAGAGACTCCTCTTCGTGATGCCGTTCCCTTCTTTTCGGAAGTTTTTCACCCAGTTTGTTTTCTCTTTCGCGCAGGACTAGAATCTATTTTCTTAGCACCCCCAGCAACGGCTGGGAGACGACTCTTCTATATGTAGACATCGCGCACGCCGATCACGCCAATGGTTATCGTCTGCATTGGCAGCCTGTCATAGAAGCGAATTTCCAGAGGTAAGACTGTCCTTAGAATTGTGGTACTCGGTGTGCTGGTATTATACAGTGGTTTGGAAGTGGTACAATGGGGCTTACTATACGATTATTTCAGCGTATCGAGCACAAACAGATTGTCGAGGGAAGAGCAGTTGTTGTGGGAAAGGAAAAGACTCGCTACCTGGGGTATAACCAGCTATGAGATGCATGCAGAGAGTGGAAAACTAGTCTTTCCGGCTGCCAGCAGTCTCTATCAGTGTGTGGATACTGGATTCATGGTAATGGCTGTCTATGTGTCACCACGATAGCGAAATGCAATGTGTCTATAGATGTACGCTTTCTTCGGACAGCCCGGACCTCTTTTCCCTTCTGAGATTAGAATGACAAACACCGGAGCGAAGCTGTGTCCCCAAATTTGTCCCTGGAACAACGATTTGGTCGCTCATACATGTTCCGGAGATTTGTACTTGTCGCACAGTATCACAGGCTCGTCGGTGCGGTTGACGCATGCTAGGAAAGGTGGCAGAGGTCTCATGGACGATCCGCTCACCGCCGGCACCCCGTCCTATGTGATGCAGGAAGAGTTTACAAGGTTGATCCTGTTATTGCTGAATACTCACATACTAGTAGAGTGAAAATCAGGATATCTGTTTCTGTCTTTCAGGTACATCGGGTATTGGTGGCAGCCAAAGTCCAACGATGGTATTTACCGAATTGTATATGAGGAAGTGGACGAGAGTGACGTAAAGATTTACTGCTTCCCATCTTCATCGAACACTGACGAAGTGGATGAGTTTAGGTTTCCCAGAGCTGGCATGCCAAACGCTAGAAGTAATTTGAAGATGGTTCAGTTCCGATTGACGGAGTTGCTGCAGATCGTCGATGTCGAGATATTGGAGCTGCAATATCCACTTCACATCATGTTCCCATGGATGGAATACATGGTGCGAGTTGGATGGACTCCTGACGCGCAATAGTAAGTTGACAAGAGGCTGCGGGTGGCATGTTGAGAAATGAGTCGATAAACGTCACTTTTCCAATGCAGCGTCTGGGTACAGCTGCTGGACAGGAAGCAGCAGAAACTCGAATTGGTGCTGCTGTCGATGGACAACTTTTGCGAGCCGCCGCCGAACATGTATAATTCCGAGAACCATTTCACGCCCACGTCGGCAAGTGTTCAAGTGATATATTCCGAACAAAGTTCCGTATGGATCAACGTCAATGATTTGTTGCACTTCCTCAAGTCCGACGACGCGAATGAGGTGAAATTCATATGGGGTAGCGAAGAATCCGAGTTTCGGCACTTGTATCTCATCACATCCAGCATAGCAGGTGACCGTCAAGACCATCTTACGGGTGCGCCTTCCGCGCCCACGCATCGTCCACGCACGATGGGAGATTCATCGTCGCAACATGTGTTCTGTTGCAGGCCTGAGTGTCGGGGTTGAAGATCCCCTGGACAGAATGGATAGTATATTCCTCCGACCGCGTATCACCTCCAAAGTGGCATTGACCAAGGGCGACTGGGAAGTCCTGGGTAAGAAGATATGGGTCGACGAGGTGAATTCTATCGTGTACTTTTGTGGCTTACGCGAGGGACCGTTGGAGCAACACGTGTACGCGGTTTCTCTGCGACGGCCGTTGGAGATACGGCTGTTGACGCGACCTGGTTACAGTTACAACAGTATATATTTTAATAAGGAATGCACCATGCTGGTCACTGTTTATAGTTCCATTAAAACGCTGCCTACTTGTCAAGTATGTTTCACCGGAAATCATATCTGACTGCGTGAGTCGTTGCGCGCAATTGACGATCGCTTTCATTCGTTTCGTAGGTATTCAAGATCTCGCAATCTGATTGGACGGTAGAGAGTATATCGCTCACACCTGTAGGCTACCTCTTAGAACCATCCGCGCCCGAGTCCGAGCTATTCGCGCCGGAGATCTTCACGCATAAGATCAAGTCAGGCGACACCATTTACTCTATGATATTCAAGCCTCATAATTTCCAACCTGGCGTCAAGTATCCCACGATACTGAACGTTTACGGAGGACCCGAAGTACAACTTGTATCAAATACCTTTAAGGTGAGAGAGAGAGAGAGAGAGGAGAGAGAGAGAGAGTGCATTTGAAACGCGAATGAAATGTGCATACATGATGAAGTAAATTTTACGACGCACTTTAATCTCTTTTCCGCAGGGTTTAAGACACTTACGCATGCACATGCTAGCTGCTCAAGGTTACTGTGTAATTCTCATCGACTCCCGTGGATCCCAACACAGAGGTCTGATATTCGAGAGCCATTTGCGACGTAGAATGGGAACGGTCGAATTGAACGATCAGGTTGAGGTGTTGAGGTGGCTGGCAGAAACTACTGGCTACATAGACTTAAATCGCGTAGCTCTGCATGGCTGGTCTTACGGAGGATACCTCAGTCTCATGGGTTTGATACAGTATCCCGATGTATTCAAGGTACGAGCGACACCAAACGGTCGAAATCGCCGTCGATTCGTCACGTCTCGTTCAAACAAACGTTTCATTTCGCAGTTGGCCATCGCCGGCGCCCCGGTCACTTCGTGGAACTTCTACGACACTGGATATACCGAGCGTTACATGGACCTGCCGCAAAACAATCCCCACGGCTACATGTCCGGCTCGATTCTCACGTACGTGAGCAAATTCCCCGACGAGGAGAATCGATTGCTGATCATTCATGGACTCATAGATGAGAATGTCCATTTTTATCACACTAGCCAACTGATTAACGCCCTCGTGAAGATCGGCAAGCCTTATCAGCTGCAGGTCTATCCTAATGAGAGGCACAGTCTGAGGAGTCTAGATGCCAGTAAACATTACGAAACTACCCTGCTGTCCTTCTTACAGAATCATTTATAAACAGATGTTATTTTTCTCTTGTTTCTACTTTTTTTCTTTTTAATACTCTTAGATCAATGGTGGGAGAAACATTTGTTGAGATATGGTTTTAGAAATTTAAATGACTGCCATTTATTCTCAAATGTGAGAGACTTAAGGAAAGGAACTAAATCTGATATGTCCTTTATGTGCAACTGTCAACAATTGATGCTGTTAATTTCGCAAAAAGATATATTTCGATCGAAACTTTTCGGATACCATTACTTTTTTAAAACATTGCAACCGCGATAGAACGTACTGATTTTGAACGTGCATCACGATATTAATGCGAACTCGTCGGGATCCCATGCCTATGGGAACTTGATTTGCCTTTTTAATAAGGGATTTACATAAATTATACATAGAAACGCTAAATATAGATACCTATATGGACTAATCTTCAACGGCATTACAGAAGGTGTCACGGAACGTGTAATAAGTACATTTGAAACAGCCTTTTTAATCAGCTATTGTTGAAGTGCTCACGAGTGTAATAAATATTCGTTATACGTGACTATTTTTTAAGAGAACAGACAATATACTCAATTTATTGACAATAGTTAATCAGAAAGACTACTTCAGATGCGTTTTTGTTCCGCGATCGTTTCGCAATATGTGTTGAACCGTTGAACATCCCGACTGTGACCGTGTATATATATATATGACTACACGTGGTTGTACATTCATCTTTCTACGATGAGTGAGGATCTACGTTTCAGCGAGAAAAGTATTTGCGTTCTTCAATGTTATGAAACAATCGTATATCCGATGGATAATTATTTCTCAATAAAACAAATTTATTATTTTATATTTCAGTTATATGTTGGCTTTTATACATCCTATCAGGTCAATCGCTGTCATCACACTCTATCGATCTACATCATATTGCAATTTGTCAAAAACTGCATGTTCAAAGAAATCATATAACAGAAAATTCTCTACCCAAATCAGTAATGAAAAGGAGAGAATCATTCAGCTCTCAGTACAAAAGACAGTAAAGTATTTGAAAACTATTGAAAAACACCGCAATAGAATTTAGACTTGAATATAATCAAACACTAATGACATATGAGTGACAGCTAAGTTATTAGTTAGTAGTTTTAGTTTTACGGTTTAAATATTTATACAAAAAAGATATCCTCTTAGACAACTCCTTCCATTTTGTAGGCCTTGCAATGGGATATACACCATGTTGTAACATTTTTCTTTTTCTGAGTAACACTTGATACTCATTGCCCTTGACTCCCCTCAACCACGCAGGTACGTTATAAAGAATTTTCGTCGGGTGGAGATTGTCATTGCCTAATATATCGATATAATCATTTTGACCGAAAAGTGCTCGTTTTGTGGACCAGATGTCTTTTGGGCGATACAGTGGCATCTGAAGTATTCGCTTATCGCTTTCGCGTGCCAGAGTACCCGTCATATCTATATGTTCCTCGTATCCATATCGTCGTATCAATGGTCCTTTCTTAATTTTGTCCGCATGATAGCGAAATCTTACTGACATTACTTGCGGAGTCCATGTGTTTATAGCGGCACGTACGGAATTCACGATCGAAGACATACTGAAAAGAAGAGGAGCCATGTTAAAAATAATGTATAATAAATAAGTAATATAAAAATATATAATTATAGCTATTCAACACGTAGCGATAACATCATCATTACAAATCGTTGGAGAATAGGTATACAAGGGTTATATTGTTTTTACCGAACTACATTAATTGCTAAGTTGCCAATTAAATCTGATACTTACCTCTCTGTACAATGATAAAGTTAAAATATGTTATTTAAATGGTACATTCGGTTATAAATGTTTACAAACGCGATAGATGTTTAATTCTACATGTAACACTTTAATATAACCGAAAGATAACAGTAGTAGTATATTGGCTACGTTCAGAAAACACAACGGTTGTGCAACTGTTGGTAAAATGTTCGCTGAACGCACTTGATCAGTGAGCGCATTCTCAACATGTTCAGTGAGCGGACGCCATTTTTCTGAGTGGTTTCCAAATACGCTCAGTGAGCATAACGTATTGATATATGCACTTGATTTTTTCTTTTTAGCTGCACTTCTGCACTGGTACAATAAGTTAAAATATAATCAAGTTTCAAAAATAAAAAATATAGTCAAGTTTCGTAGTATCGCCATTCAAGTATCGCTTAACCTTAACCTTAACTTTGTGATATTAAAATGTACGAAACAGAATATGAATATCATAACATAAATTATTATATTATGGATATACCCGAAGTTCATACAAGATTGATTCAATTCAATTCAATTCAATAGATGGCTCTGGGCAAGTTGGGTACTGCTCCGATGCCACTCTCCATACCTCATACAAGATTGAGAAATGGTAAATTATTCATTCGCAATAAAAGTATAATTCGTCAACGTTATTGGTCTGAATGTAAGGATCTAACAGTAAGGACCAATAGTTACTAAGCGCTCAGTGAGCGCTTTGTTTTCCGAACGCAACCAATGAAAGAGGAATATTTCAATTTATTGTCTCTAAAAGGCTGGTTGCAGTTGGGTTCTTTGGATTTTCGTTATTAATATATATGTAGGTAGATGAATTGTCCTTACTTTCAGAGATATATATATATATATATTATGAATTCTTCGTATTATCTCTACAATGGCTGATTTTTTCTTTCGGTTAAAACGTGGTTAACAAAGATAGAATATTTGAAAAGAGGCTCACTTGAACTTGCTCGCAGCTTAGAAACAGAGAAATTCAATAAAATGTGTAATCGATACCGGAAAACCCGAGAATAATTATTTTCTTACCTCCCTTTTCTGGTTTTGCCCTGTTGGTGAGGATTTCCGATTGAAATTTTCTAGGTTGAACTGTGAAATACGACCGTTTTAAGAATGGACTTTTCGGCTCTTCGACGCGGCTCTTTCTGACGACTTGACTTTCCTTTCCGAATTATATATGAGAAGTAAATTTCGAATGATTGTTTAAAAGAACATTGTCTCAACGATATCTATATTATCGGTAGAACTTCTACAATTGATTGGTTAACATTGAATAACAATTATCGAAGGTTCGTTTCCTCCTCGATAAATATAGATATCAAATAATTGACTTTATAACAAAATAGATGATTCTCTGAGATAGTGATGAGAAAAATCAAACGGAGTGCGTGTTGCAAGAAATATATAAAATATAAAATACCGATTCTCTGTATTAAAAGATATTTAATCATCCTCTTTTGTTGTAAATATCGTTACAGAATCTATTGGCTATATAAAAGAAATGAAACATTCCTTTATTTTTATATATACATATATATATATTCCATTTTTTATAACATTTTACGAATTACTTTTAAAAGCTTCGTAAAAGTCTACATGTTCGCCTGCAAACAAGTCGTTAATATCAACAGCATTGAGATATTGTTCTAAGTTATTGCTAACATAATTATTATTTATCGATGTTTTTTTAATATTCCTGGGAATAGGTACACTAGGTTTAAACGCTACACCCGCAGGGTCGTATTCCGTGTAAAGTTCGTCCGGTGTCCTAAAATTGATAAAACAAACAATATAGAATGCAAAAAAAAAGGAGGGAAAACAGATCCAGCTGTTTGTTCGTAATAATTGGAATAAAGTGATACGAGATAATATTTTCTATAATCGTGCGAATTATTAGGCAAAATTGGTACTTACAGTTTCGCAATTTCGGTAGACATACTACCCTCACCACTCGTAGGTACCGCGTATGCTATATTCTTTGCGAGTTGTTGTACCACACTGTGATAGTGACGCTGTAAGAATATGTGTAATTATATTATCTATCGCTCTCGACTATTCGGCAAACGAGACAAGAGGTATCGCATTGGATTAAGGTGTACCTGTAACGCAACAATTTCCCACAGTGCGGTGCAATACGCATTACAATAGTCAGGTTCTAAGATTTCGGACTGATAATGACCGTTTCCGGTGCAATCGGTATCCAGTAGACCGTGAGCCGCTTTCCCAAGCTGCATAACTTGTTTCACGATGCCGAGTATTCCCAGCGTAACGTTGTGTTGCGACTGCAGAGCCCACGTGCTTATTCTCTTCACAAAGGCTACCGCACGAGCCTGCGTTATCTTTTTTCTCTGATGAATGAGAACTTGTATCAATGTCTTCTGTATAATTTCACTTTCCGCATGCGTTTTCCCGCAGTGGACGTTCAATAAATTTTTATACAGATGCGCGTAAAATCTACAGCAGAGAATATAAATTGGAAGCGTATAATTTTGCTTATATATAAATATATGTATATACATATAAATATATATATATATATACACAAATATACATATTTGCATATGAAATATATACACATATTTGCATATGAAACAGCAGCATCGCCGGTTGTTATATACAAACCTATACGGGTCGATGTTCAGAGCTGTACCTTGACCAGATAAGATTGTAAATATACATTGAACACAATGTAGTTGTTCCCTCAATCCCAGGTTACCTTCTTCTATTAATCTATCTATAGCACCCACTAAATCCTGATAGAAATCTATATTGATGCAGTGCGCGAATCTGAAGTTTATGAAGATGCAAAGCGATATATAATTTAACGAAGTTTCGACACGTGGAAAAGGGTGTGTATGTTTGTGTATGTGTGAGCGATCTTACTTGGCTAATCCTTCTAAACATGCGGACAATACTTTGCTATTGGGAACTTGTTTTAAAATCCTGAAATATATAGTGAATATTATGCTCGTTATTTCTGTCAGCATCTTCTGTTTCGCTTGCTTATTCTCTTCGGCTTTCGTTTCGAGTAACTCTTTCTCCACTTGCTCCAGTTTCTTGTTTTTCTTCCTTTCTCGCCTGCTTAATGCGAGGATCCTCTGTTTGTGAGACATGAGCTTCTTTTGCTTCGTTTCCTCTTCCTTTTCCTTGTCTAGATTCACGTCTTTTATGCGAAGAGATAATAACACCGTTATAACTTCGGGATAGACCGAGTGTTTCTTCGCCTTGATATATTGATTTAATTTTCGGACTATCTGCAATTTTTTTAAGGCATTTTTTTTTTACGACGATTATATGTTAATATACATATTATACAATGTGTCAGTTAAATTATTTTTATTATCATGATATAATCTTACTGTGAGAGACAGTTCGCCTCGTTTATCCTCTTTGAATATTTGTGAGATGCACTGCATTATTCTCCCCCTCACACTGCTACGTTTGTTATCCAGAAAAGGCAGGATGTAATTCGCTATATTGACAGAGAAATTAAAATACGGATGAACAATCAGAAGCTCGCACATGCAGGATACAGCTGTTTCTCCCAGTTTTGCTTCTCGTTCGTTCACTGGTCGCGCGTCGCCTCTCTTTCTTCTCAAAATCTTCGACATCTTTTCGAGTCTCTGCAGATAGCTCTTGTAACTTCTTAACAATATTGTCTCATAATTCTGTAGAGCCAGAGTCTCCTTTTTTACTAGAATCATTATTGATTGAAAAAATTAATAAACACATGTCATATAGTTTTGTCCTTTGTCCATAAATTTATGTACATACATTTTACTCCTTCTTGAGAAATTTGTAGAATATTATATGATGGCAGCAGATCCTTAAATATTTCCAAAAGAGATACCATCGCCAGTTTTCTCACAGTGATATAAATTTCTGGATTTCTCTCATCCATAAAATCCAGCAGCATCTTAAAATTGCTGATATTAAGTTCTGGATTTTCCAAAATGCCACTTGAGAGTATACCTATCTTGAAACGTTTAGATTTCAAAACCTCCTCACGACATGCCAAGAGCTCAATAGTGGATACTGGTTTATCAGCTTTTTCTAGAGTATTCTGAAATTTGCTAATAGATGATAAAGCATTCTTCACAGAAATTAAATATCTCAAATATTGATTTTAATCTTACATGTGCATTTATTTCCATTTCCATGTCACTATTATTTTCTTTATCAGTCTTCTTGCTTTCTTCCTCCTCATTATTATTATTCACAATCTCATTATCTTTATTCGAAATATCATTTACTTCCTCAATAATATGTTTCTGTATAAGGCCATTCTTTGTTTTTATAGGAAGTAACATGCGAATTGACTTCCCAGCATTGTCTTTCATGATTTTAGAAAAGTTGTTCTCAAATAATTCCTCTATTGGTCGGCTATTTTCTATTTTTTTCCTTTTTCTACCATTTTGTTCCTTATCAGGTCTACAATAACAAATATTAAATAACATTATAAGAAGTCAAATATCAGCCTATTTTTCCAAGAGGAAAAGCAGTAATATAACACATAAAGGAAATTTTTACTAAAGATCATATGCAATCTTACTCATTTAAATGAATTTGTTTTAGTAGATTATAAGATTTGTTTGATATTGCTTCTTGCAAAAAAATTAGATCATCTTTTTCAACCATATCCATTAAGTCCTCTCCATGATCGCTCTCTTCTTCCTCGACTGTTTCCTGACGTGGTGGTGGTGGTTTCTGAGATTGTTTCTTTGATGTGTGACGTTTACTTTTTAGTTTTCCTTGTTTTGATAGCTTGGTCTTTACATGATTATTCCTTTTAACTTTGCTGACTTTCAGTTTCCTTAATTTCTATAAAATAAACAGTTACATAGAAAATTTTTTTACGAAGCGTATAAGAATAACAAAATTATTTTTAGTCGCCGTATGATTTTTTTATGTATAAAATGTGCAGATTAAATTGAGCATTTAAGAGGTTAAAAATTTCATCGGGTAATGTAATAACGATTTTTATATGTTAAATTTATATCTATAAGTTAATACTTACCCCCATATTTACAACGTGCAGAGAATTGAATTATTCCTTCTCTCTACTTCAATCTAGTTTTACAGATTATAATATATTATTATAATATAAAACCACTCGTTATCGTTATGTTGTCATTCAAAGTATGTATTGCGCACGTGTATAGTTCAGTCCAGTTCATTCGTTTGGTTGAATGGCGCTCGGGTCGACCGACTTCCGTTATGGCCAGAATAACCGAAAGGGCCAAAGCATAGACTTCTGCATAATGCATAATACACAACGCATAAGAGAATCAACCAATCAGAGTTCTAGGGGACATATTTTTCGACACGCTCCCTGAGAAAGTATACATAAACTATATCTATTCCGATGGTAAAGTATACATACACAGTTCTCGTTCGCTCTATCAGAGCAAACCTGAAAGCGGCCAGAGAGGAAGCTGAGAGCGGCCAACACCTTTTTTGTTTTCGGTCAGCGCTTCTTTCAAGTCTGTTTACTCTCGTTACGGGATCTAAATTTAAATGTCCACTCGTAAAAGAATATTTTCGAGAGCACACAACTGTTGTTTCCGCTTCTTGTTGTCATTTTTTTTCGTCGGCTCTTTCAAGATCTAGACTTTCAATGTCAATGAAGAAAAAAAATCGTAGCAAATATTCTCCACTCATCCCGACCAAACATTCTTTCTCTACCGCAGCTTACCAACCAGGAACTCTTAGATTATATTTCTCGTCAGCCGTCGTTTTGTCTAGTTCTGTCTCTTTCGCTCGGGTGCTTTACCGTTAAGCCAGCGGCACACAGTGCTTGTTTTCGTGCTGGATTGCTTGCTGGATGAAAATACTGCGTTCTGATTGGTGAATTTTCATCCATCTTCGAAAATATACCAATCACAACACAGTATTTTCATCCAGCAAGCAATCCAGCACGAAAACAAGCACCGTGTGCCGCTAGCTTTACTCGTGTTTAATTAATATTTAATTAATATTTAATTTATTTAATTAATATATTTTACATATATGTAAAAATATTTTTGATAAAGTCGGGTGCTAACTTCACATAGCTATACGTTCTACGTCATAATTACGCGCTACCAACGCCATTCTTTCCGAGTGTGAAGATAGAGTTAGTGTTGTGTTTGCTTCCCGAACATTTTTAGATATTAATGGTGGTCTTTCTGTAACTTTCGACGCGACATTTACAAATTAAATTTACGCTTGAATTTATTTTTCTTGAGTGCTACAGTTATGAATTGTATAGAGATCAGCCTTTACGATGTAGAGACAAAAGAGAATTTCCAAATTAAATTATCAAAAAGTGGTGCCTTACGAGCACAGAACGGTGTTATGCGGTTTTTATATGCGGTGTTTATATGCGGAGGCGAACAAAAGACTCTTATAATTTTTATTTGATCACAATAATTTTTAAATAAGTATATGATATCTCTCTCTCTCTCTCTCTCTCTGTGGCGCTGCACTACTGCTGTTTATGAAACTCACTATCACTATCGCGCTATTGGCTCCATGAAGACTTGGTAGCATTTGCATTGGTAGCGTGATAGCGAGCTTCCTGAACGCACCCATTATGATTGTAATACGGACATAAACCGCCTGAAAGTGGATGTAGCACGGACTGCCACCACATGCAGGTTTTACCGCCGAAACCTGAAAATGGATGTAGTATCGTAGTTCCCCTCTCAAAATGGATGCAGATGGCGCGCACTTTCCCAATGCGGAAAGTTGGTGTCGCCGAAAACGCTGTGTTCACCGCTTTCATGTTCCTCTCTGGCTACTTTCCTACAAAAATAGCAAGAAATTAGAAAAAGACAAACGACTGCTTATATTAAAATTATTGAGAACATGTAAATTAAAGAAAAGGATAATTATATCAGTTGTATATATCTATAATTCGTACTTTGGGATATTAAGCTAAAAAGCTTAACCATGTAAAAGGTGATAAAAATGTTTAGCTACACATCTCTCACGCATGTATAGCTTTATTACTTCACAGAATAGAACGATTTTTAATCATGCATGGTACATGCGGTAGTTGTAACATGTTATAAACTATACGGTCATTATGTGCAAAAACGTAATGTCAGATCGTATCTTCGTAATGTATACAGATTAATTCTGATCTGATGAGTCACTAGCAAGTTTGTGATCAAGTCTTAGCCATCAACTGATGTACCGCCAATTGAACACGCAGTTCCACACAAGCGTCTTTCTCCTCGATAATACTGCGTATCAGTGTCGTCATCTTCTTCTGCAACGGAAGAAATAGCGCGTAAATACGTAGGTGCAACAGGAAAATATAATGTAGAAGGAGAAAGCACATACTTCGAGCAACTGATTCTCTTTGACTAGCTGAATCATTGCCGTCATTTCAGCCTCGTTAGGAGAATGTATCCTTTCCCTGGGCTTCTTCTTTTCCGAGCCACGCTCTGTGAGCATTTCCATCAGTCGTTTGATCTCGTTCCTCTCCTGACTGATTCGAGACTTCAGTAACGCCTGCATATTCAACAGCTCCTCATGGATCAAGCTTTCTCTCAACTTATCGATAACATCTTCCTCTTCGGGTTCTGCGCATCAAATTACAGATGTACTTTGTTTTTTAATTTAATTAAAGATGTATGTTCTTAAATATACTTAAGATTTTTTACTTAAATCGTTGGAAACTAAACATACTGTGAATCGTCACGTACCATTCGCCTTATCGTTAGATGTCACATCCTCAGGTTCTCTCGACTGCGGAGTAACTACTGCCGTTTCCACAGAATCAACTGTGTCTTTTTCCTGCACGTTCATGCCCTGTTCATTCTGCGTCGTGCTTGTCGTACTCGTTCCTGTCGCGTAGGTTGACTTCTCCTTCGCCTCTTCTACAGCATGCTGTTTACTATCTTTCTTCAACAATGTCAAGTTGGACGATATTTGAGCATCGTGTTTCGTCTGTGCGGAATCCTCATCCGCATTCTTTGGCTTTTGCAAGATAGACTCGAGAGGAATATTCTCGGTCGACTTCACCTCCTCGTCCAAGCTCTTTTGCATTGTAGCACCTTCCAATTTTTGAACCGTTTTGTATTTTCTCTGCGAAGAAAAGCAAGATATGTCGCATGTGTATATATAAGATTTTCCAAGAGCTTTCTCGCAGTTTTACCTTCAACTGCGTTATCATCCGTTGAACCTCCCACAATTGCTCTTCACGCGACTTCGTTACAAAGCCAGCATTCATTTGCATGTGAATCTGGGAAAGTAAAGATTCTTGCTTGGACAACTCCGCGGTTATACCCTCCACGGTGTCTGGCAGATTGGTGCTACCGGACGACAGCGGCGGGACGTATTTTGTTAATTGCACATTCGGAAACAGAGCTTTGCAATGGAATAAGAAAGCCAACAGCAACCTATGACTCATTTGCAGCACTGGACTTAGTGTCATCGAGATTGTCTGCGCGTTCATCTTTGTCGTCTTCTCCTACAATCATGAAAGATATCGTCAAAAATTCAACGATAAAGGCGTTGAGATATCGCACACAGATCAATGAAACGGGTTTATATCATTTCCCTTTTCAATTCCATTTCAAGTACAGTGAATTTTGAACATTCTTAAAGAGATGATTCTCCTAAATGAGAAAAAAAGATGCCAACGACGAGTCTACCTTGAGTAATAGAAATTGACTGAAAAGATACCATGTGAGAAAATCGTATCTGATAGTTTTCGAAACGTACTCGCGCTGTGACATGATCCAAATGCAACGTGACCCACGCCAGAAGGACCCTGTTGCATTCCGGTAGCTGCTGCGTGAGCTGCGCCAATTGCGACTCTCGTTGCGCGACGTCCTTGGTCGATGCGGCCTGTTCGAAGCGCGATATCGTTTCGCTATTCTCCAGCACAGGCTCTGGCAGCTCTCTACATCACCACAATGCCACTTTTTCGTTTGATCTTAAAACACATGGTGACGAGATAGAACCTTTCAAGATACAAACCTAAGAAAGAGTATCAATAAGCTCGTAGCTACCGTGGGTTCGAATTCAGATATGTTCACTGTCTCCCGGTAGTTATATAGCTTCTTCAGATGCTGGACCTTCGACTTCACGCCGGGAACTTTATACAGGCCCTCCACATTCATCCCGTGCTCTTCCACGTAGTCGATACAATCCCGCACCACCAAAGGTAGCTCTATTCCATCGTGACAACAACTTCTCTCGACCGCTAAATGAAGACTAACGCCGAAAACTGGTTGCTCTTCTGAGAAAATATAACACATATGTCAAATAAGCACCAGTATGATTAACGAGATCAAATCTATTTTAACACTGTCACATGCACATAAATTTACTTCGCTAACACAAGTAACATTTTATAAAGAAATGTTTATAATAATAATAGCTTATAATTATAACATTATAGCTATATAAAACTCAAAGGAAATGGATGTTTATTTCTTTAGGTACTGTCTACACAACCTCTCGAAATCTACTGACAATCGGAATTATTTCTGAAATAAGAATGGCCATCAAAATGTTACTGTGTAAATTTCTCTGAATCTTACCACCAATATCCAAACCCTCACTACTAGCATGTTTCCCTTTCTTACGATCTTTCAACTTCTGCTTGGACTTTTCTTTATCCTTATCTTTCCGCTTTTCCTTATCCATATCTTTTTCATCTTTGTCCTTTTTCTTTTTATCTTTATCTTTCTCAGTATCTTTATCTTTGGCTTCCTTTTCTCGTGATTTTTCCCGTTTTTCTTTCTTAGAAGGAAACTTGAAAGCTTTGGTTTTCTTTGACTTTGAAGGACTTCTGTAATAAAAATGACCAGTTATATATAAATCAAATTAGATTACTGAGAAATTACAAATACTTTAGAAGTGAATCTTAATACATCAATTGTTATTCTGTATATATATTATAAAGGTTCTGATGATAAAATAAATGTTCACTGAACAAATTAAAGTTAAAACAAGCAGTAGTATTAAATCGTAAACATTTGTGATCAGCCTATTTTCCATTTTAAACTCAGAAATCTAGCTTGGTTGTGCAAGTATAAAGAAGACAGTGCAGTATGAACAAGGAATATGAAACAGCATAATAATGACGAACGATTCTAATTATCAAATATGTGTTAACTGTACAAAAATTAATATAGCCTTGCATAACATAACCTCATATACACATACACATATATACATATATATATTTAACAGATATATATATATATACATATGTATATATTTAACAGATACATGTAACAAATATTAAAATAATAAGACATATTAATTATATATTAACATTGTGTATAATTTGAGGTAAGAAATAATAATTTGGAATAAATATGCTATAATGCTTCATGCAAATTTACTTGGTTTCTTGATCTTCATCCGGTGAACTTTCACCCTCTAAGGTCGCATAGCCTCTGTCCTTTCTATCCTTCTTGTCCTTACGTTTGCCTCCCAAAAGTTCTTTCTTGGAATGCTTATCATGTCCACCTTCATCACTGACTAAAGCACGAAAAACATTAACGACAATATTATTTAGTGGAAGTTTCTAACACTGCAATAACTGCAATAACGAAAGATGAATTTTTTTCGAGTTTGACATAACCTCCTTGATGCATAACCTCTTTGTGTTTCATATTATGTTACATATCCATCATTGAGAATAAAAATATAATATAATAATAATGATTACGTACAATCACTCTCATTGCTTTTCTTCGCCGATTCGGACGCGTACAATCCAGGAAATTCCTTCTCGACATCAGGACTTTCGAAGTCCATCCTGTCAGGACGTACCAGACGTGCTTTGACGTTAATCAGATTCTTGTTTGGTATAGGAGTGATATCACCTCAATTATTCTGACATCGATTATTTTTATCTTACAAAACCAATTATCGAATGATATTACGTAATTCAACGAGTGCTGTCAAATACAACATTAAAAGTTCACAAAAAACGCCTCGTCTTTTAGATATCGCTGAAAACTTGAAAAATAATAATTTTCAGTTACTTCTAATAGAGGAAAAATTCGAGGATGGCGCCATCTTACTTAATTTGACAAATACTACTGAATGCAATTCTAAAAATTGTCAGTAAACGTCTGATTTTAATCGCGACTAAATTTTATGGAGGTCGGTAAAATCTGGTTCGAGTCTCAACTAAAATTTTAATTTTTTTTAGCTGAGACTCAAACCATAATAAGGGGTCTAGCTTTTTCTAGACCCCCTATTATAATCGAAAAATAATGGGTCTAATAAACCCTAAACCCCTTATATCTTATAAAAAAATAACAAGTCTAACAATATAACAATATAAAAATAACAGGACACGTATTGTAGGCCAGGCCTTAGGAATAAGTAGTTTTATTTAAAAATGAAATAGAAATTCAGTTGTCCTCGAGATTGAAACAAATTCTATTCGACAAGCGATCGAGTCGCTTGTCAAATCGCCAAGATCCTTGACGGATACTTGGAAAGAGAGAGTTCGCAAACTCCAAAGGAAACGGTCACGTTTCCTGATATCCAAGGTCCTCGATGGACGCTTGGAAAGAGAGAGTTCACCTGTTCCACATGGAGGCGACCAAGGGCCGCTCCTGTACCGCGATTCTGTAACTCGTTATTGGAGTTAAGGACACTTTCGTTATCGTTGCGCAGCTTTTGTATACCGTAGAAAAGCTGCGCAACAATAACGAAACTGTCGTTAACTCCAATAACGAGTTACAGAATCGCACCACTGAAGTGTGGCAACCCAGAGAACTCAAATCTGAATAGTCCGATTCTAACCGTAAAGCCCTCAACCCAATAGGATATAGCGGCACCGCTTTCAACTCAGCAGAGTATACTCTGCTATTGCTATTATATATTGCGGTTCGAATCTATACTACACGCCAATACTTCACTAGAAAAGCCTAGAGAACAGGTCGGTAAAAATGAGCGCTACAAGTCGCACAAAATCAAACCCCAGAGATTAAAACCACAATCGGCGTTGGGCCATGCGACGGCGCGCGGCTCGCTATCGCGCTCGGTTATATCGCCCGGGCGGCCGAATCTTAACTGCGAGCAGAAATAACGGTGAGGGTGTTGCCGGTCGCATAGCGACCGCGAACGGCATTAGTGGATACGCGCGGGGCGTCGGCTGGAGTACCGCGTACTCGCCTGCGAGAAATCAACGGGAGTCAGGTCGTCCGCCACGCAGCACCGGATCAACAACCCTAATAGCATGCAGGCCGCGGCAACGCGACTGAACGTCGCTACCCACACATTTCTGAACAATGAGTAAGATTGCATATGATCTTTAGTAAAAATTTCCTTTATGTGTTATATTACTGCTTTTCCTTTTGGAAAAATAGGCTGATATTTGACTTTTTATAATGTTATTTGGTATTTGTTATTGTAGACCTGATAAGGAATAAAATGGTAGAAAAAGGAAAAAAATTGAAAATAGCCGATCAATAGAGGAATTATTTGAGAACAACTTTTCTAAAATCATGAAAGACAATGCTGGGAAGTCAATTCGCATGTTACTTCCTATAAAAACAAAGAATGGCCTTATACAAAAACATATTATTGAGGAAGAAAATGATATTTCGAATAAAGATAATGAGATTGTGAATAATAATAATGAGGAGGAAGAAAGCAAGAAGACTGATAAAGAAAATAATAGTGACATGGAAATGGAAATAGATGCACATGTAAGATTAAAATCAATATTTGAGACATTTAATTTCTGTGAAGAATGATTTATCATCTATTAGCAAATTTCAGAATACTCTAGAAAAAGCTGATAAACCAGTATCCACTATTGAGCTCTTGGCATGTCGTGAGGAGGTTTTGAAATCTAAACGTTTCAAGATAGGTATACTCTCAAGTGGCATTTTGGAAAATCCAGAACTTAATATCAGCAATTTTAAGATGCTGCTAGATTTTATGGATGAGAGAAATCCAGAAATTTATATCACTGTGAGAAAACTGACGATGGTATCTCTTTTGGAAATATTTAAGGATCTGCTGCCATCATATAATATTTTACAAATTTCTCAAGGAGTAAAATGTATGTACATAAATTTATGGACAAAGGACAAAACTATATGACATGTGTTTATTAATTTTTTCAATCAATAATAATGATTCTAGTAAAAAACGAGACTTTGGCTCTACAGAATTATGAGACAATATTGTTAAGAAGTTACAACAGCTATCTGCAGAGACTCGAAAAGATGTTGAAGATTTTGAGAAGAAAGAGAGGCGACGCGCGACCAGTGAACGAATGAGAAGCACAACTGGGAGAAACAGCTGTGTCCTGCATGTGCGAGCTTCTGATTGTTCATCTGTATTTTAATTTCTCTGTCATATAGCGAATTACATCCTGCCTTTTCTGGATAACAAACGTAGCAGTGTGAGAAGAAGAATAATGCAGTGCATCTCACAAATATTCAAAGAGGATAAACGAGGCGAACTGTCTCTCACAGTAAGATTATATCATGATAATAAAAATAATTTAACTGACACATTGTATAATATGTATATTAACATATAATCGTCGTAAAAAAAAAAAATGTCTTAAAAAAATTGCAGATAGTCCGAAAATTAAATCAATATATCAAGGCGAAGAAACATTCGGTCTATCCCGAAGTTATAACGGTGTTATTATCTCTTCGCATAAAAGACGTGAATCTAGACAAGGAAAAGGAAGAGGAAACGAAGCAAAAGAAGCTCATGTCTCGCAAACAGAGGATCCTCGCATTAAGCAGGCGAGAAAGGAAGAAAAACAAGAAACTGGAGCAAGTGGAGAAAGAGTTACTCGAAACGAAAGCCGAAGAGGATAAGCAAGCGAAACAGAAGATGCTGACAGAAATAACGAGCATAATATTCACTATATATTTCAGGATTTTAAAACAAGCTCCCAATAGCAAAGTATTGTCCGCATGTTTAGAAGGATTAGCCAAGTAAGATCGCTCATACATACACAAACATACACACCCTTTTCCACGTGTCGAAACTTCGTTAAATTATATATCGCTTTGCATCTTCATAAACTTCAGATTCGCGCACTGCATCAATATTTCTATCAGGATTTAATGGGCGCTATAGATAGATTAATAGAAGAAGGTAACCTGGGATTGAGGGAACAACTACATTGTGTTCAATGTATATTTACAATCTTATCTGGTCAAGGTACAGCTCTGAACATCGACCCGTATAGGTTTGTATATAACAACCGGCGATGCTACTCTTTCATATGCAAATATGTGTATACATATTTGTGTATATATATATATATGTGTGTGTATACATATATTTATATATAAGAAAAATTATACGCTTCCGATTTATATTCTCTGCTGTAGATTTTACGCGCATCTGTATAAAAATTTATTGAACGTCCACTGCGGGAAAACGCACGCGGAAAATGAAATTATACAAAAGACGTTGATACAAGTTCTCATTCATCAGAGAAAAGAGATCACGCAGGCTCGTGCGGTAGCCTTTGTGAAGAGAATAAGCACGTAGGCTCTGCAGTCGCAACACAACGTTACGCTGGGAATACTCGGTATCGTGAAACAAGTTATGCAGCTTGGGAAAGCGGCTCATGCTCTACTGGATACCGATTGTACCGGAAACGGTCATTATCAATCCGAAATCTTAGAACCTGACTATTGTAATGCGTTTTGCACCGCGCTGTGGGAAATTGTTGCGTTACAGGTACACCTTAATCCAATGCGATACCTCTTGTCTCGTTTGCCGAACAGTCGAGAGCGATAGATAATATAATTACATATTCTTACAGCGTCACTATCACAGTGTGGTACAACACTCGCAAAGAATATAGCATACGCGGTACCTACGAGTGGTGAGGGTAGTATGTCTACCGAAATTGCGCGTGAACTGTAAGTACCAATTTTGCCTAATAATTCGCACGATTATAGAAAATATTATTTCGTATCACTTTATTCCAATTATTACGAGCAATCAGCTGGATCTGTTTTCCTTCCTTTTTTTTGCATTCTATATCGTTTGTTTTATCAATTTTAGAACACCGGACGAACTTTACACGGAATACGACCCTGCGGGTGTAGCGTTTAAACCTAGTGTACCTATTCCCAGGAATATTAAAAAAACATCGATAAATAATAATTATATCAGAAGTAACTTAGAACAATATCTCAGTGCTGTTGATATTAACGACTTGTTTGCAGGCGAACATGTAGACTTTTACGAAACTTTTAAAAGTAATTCGTAAAATGTTATAAAAAATGGAATATATATATATATGTATATATAAAAATAAAGGAATGTTTCATTTCTTTTATATAGCCAATAGATTCTGTAACGGTATTTATAACAAAAGAGGATGATTAAATATCTTTTAATACAGAGAATCGGTATTTTATATTTTGTATATTTCTTGCAACACGCACTCTGTTTGATTTTTCTCATCACCATCCCAGAGAATCACCTATTTTGTTATAAAATCAACTATTTGATATCTTTATTTATCGAGGAGGAAACTTGAACCTTCGATAATTGTTACTCAATGTTAACCAATCAATTGTAGAAGTTCGACCGATAATATAGATACCGTTGAGACAATGTTCTTTTAAACAATCATTCGAAATTTACTTCTCATATATAATTGATTTAAAAATTACTGCATTCGAAAATTAGAGCAACGTCATTTAATTAACGTCTCATATCTTCTTATATTTCGTTCATCTGTCTAACTTTTATGAAGCATGATGTCAATGATAACATAATAATACAATAATAACTATATATTCTTAAATGAGTCTTTCGCATGATAAATTTAATGATATCCTCATGTACATCATTCACATTATTCGTAACTCACTTGAATAGTATAGTTCATAATAGATCTTTACTTGAATAAATTTTAAGTCATGTGTATATATCGTGATTTTTGTTTCTGCTCTCGCACGATTTTCTCTCTCTCTCTCTCTCTCTCTCTCTCTCTCTCTCTCTCTCACACACTTTTTTACTCCCTCTCTCGCTCTTCTGTAATGGTATATCAATACAAGAATCTGTAATGTTATAAATCACTGCTTTCAGGCTGTGCACTTGTGTGTACAGCATTCTTACTCAACTAATGTCTTTAAACAAATGTGGATATTTGCTATGCATGAGAATAAAATGGAACGGTACATGTCGTTGTAAATAAAAACATTATTGGCTTCCTATTCTAAGAAACGCATATATATCTAAAAACTTGCTGACAAAATGATATGTACGTAGAGAAATGTTTCTCTATCTACCTAAATTATAATAGAAATTGCGTACGAAGAATTTCTAGTTAAAATTATATACCACATGTATGCTTGGCATACATATATACGAAAAATATATAATATACAAAAAGTTTTATAATGTTGAATTCTGCTTGGTTATTCAACTTTTGTTAACAGTGTTTAGCACAAAATTATATTAAAAGCTACTCGTACTTGCATATGTTCATAGTAGTTCTTTGTGTACTTGTACACATTATTTTAAACACATAAAGCATAAAATAATTTTATATAAAAAATTATCGATTTCTACAATTTTCCTATAAATTAGGAATTGACAAATAAATATGCAGTTAAAATTATATACATTAATATAAATCTAAGACGAAAATCATACACTCTCTTTAATGTTTCACAATCACTATATTTCCATGTGTCAATTATAAAAAAAAAAAATAGAAAGAAATAAAATATATTACGAGTGAAGAAGATGTAGAGGGTATTTCGAAACCAAACAATACATATTTGTTTTATAATTATATGAAGGATCGTATATTATTGTCTTTGTACTTAACATGTATGTTACATACTAAGTACAAAGTACATATATTCAATTCTGATCTTTTTAATCCAGGAAAAAAGTTCGAGTATAAAGGTAATAATAAAAGAAAAAAAGTCATTAATTCTATTCCAATTATAGGTAGAATATACATATATTAAAGACACTAATGCGTATAAAATCATAAGTGCGTCATGAAAATAAATGAACCATATTTCATTTCGCGACTATTACAAGTATACAAACCAATATGCGATATGTATTTAAGCGGTTAAAAAAACAATTGCGAAGAATAGGAAGCCAAGCGGTAATGCTTATGTAAAACGGTAGTATTTATTTTATTATCTTTATACTCATCTAAAGCCATAAACTTAATTTCACCATAATTTAGTTTCACTCGCACACACATTCAAGCATTTGGCAGGCAAGAGCCTAGAAGAATCTAATTCAGAGAGAGCAGTATCACTACGAAGTCATCATGTCACTGACAGAATTTGCAGATACATTAGGTCCTTTTAGGGCATCATTTATGTCTCTTCTAAACATTGATAAATTTTGTGTAAACCTGCAAGAAAAAAGGCGATCAGGTCAGATAAGGATGTGTTTAAACATGTGCTTTGTTAACACAATCGTCTCCATCCCCTTACCTATCTCTATTTTTTGTGAGTAGATTCCTTTCAATCCCATTCATTAAATTTTCGAACCATTGTGCCATTGCTGCCTGCTTGTCAACTGGCTGACTTCTAATAATACTTTCCCTTAATTGATTAAAATACTACAAATAAACAAAGGGAACTATTAATATTAATACAATCGCAGAGATATATCATTAAAAGCTGATATTACTTATTTTACTTGCTATGTTATGATAAACATAATATTATTGTAATAAAATATGCCGCATACATACAATGTAATGGCAAACTTACTTCTTCGTTCAACAATATGAGACCTAACAGAGGACGAGACATGCTCCATTGACTTCTACAATCCTCAAACATTATCACATTTAAAACAGTACTTAAGATTTGCTGCAATATTTCAGGATGTTGCTTCAAAACTTCCAGAAATAAATCTCCTCCTCCAGGAACAACGGCGTTTTTCCTTCCTGGATAACCTGTATTAACACAGCATATAATGTTGATATAATGTATTTGATACAATATTTGTACACTGATGCGCTTGCGATTGCGACTTTACCTTTTTGATAAAGTTGTTTAAATAAATACGTCACAATGTGATCGAGCGTTGCACAACAACCTGTACAGACCATAGTATCTGAAATCAGAAGATATTGTTTATATATCTATCGCATAAGATGCTACGAATGTATACATACAATATCACAACGCAATCAAAAATACACGTAACCAAAGTGGCAGCATTTCTTTCGCAAGCTTACTAAAATCTACCTACCTTTTTTCATGTATCACTAAGATTTCTCTAAATTAACGTATGATCGCGTAATTACAAATAACAAAAGACTTTTACAAAAGTACACATTAAGAATGCAAAATCTTTTTATGACGATTATTAATGATAATTCCATATTGTATAGTCATTACTAAACAATACAGAATTTTACATTTTACTATCGAAGGCTACATTGCGGCATTATTGTCCAAACTAATACTGTAATAAAACATGCAACTTTTGATTAGTAAAATTAGTATAATCACAAAATATGATCTAATAAAATAGTATTAAAATATTTAGTAGTATGCCAGCTGTGCGGCTGATTATCTGTGTGCTAGACCCATTATTCGATTTCTAATAGAAATATAAAATCACGCAACACTCATGGTGCATGTCGTAGAAAAGTATAAGCTATGCGATTGTCGTTTGTCGAAATTTATCATACTTAGGGTCCAGACTCCACGCACTCCAATCCTCTTATAGCCAATGTTATTAATATAAGGTGTTCTCAGTGGTTTTCTTTATTGTGCTTAATAAAATACTTAATATATGCATCTGTTCTTTGTAATTTGAACTGTTGCAACTGTGGCTAATATCTATAGGCAGATTTACATTCCAAGCGATAATGCAAAAAGCAAGAAATATTAAAACATGTAGTTTCAAAAGGTGGTATCATGTAAAAAATATCATTAAAATCTTAAATAATTGTGTTCACAATAGTGAACGATCGACACACGTCAAAAAATATTTCTATGTGATATATAGGCAATATGACCAAACCATAATTCTGAATGTAAAATGCTACTGCAAAAATGTGTAGCGAACCTTTCGATTTCCTGTAACATCTAATGTAACGTGAATTTACATCGAATTTACATGTTTCATCGAGTCAATGACCTCGATATGATTTCAAGAATAAATGATCAACATGCAAAACTCTGTTTGAAGATCACGATCAAGGTTAAACACTCATTGCTATAATCTCTTTTTTTCTCCTTTGTATATTGTACGTGTAACGATTATACAATCTACATAATCTATACAAGAGAATCGAAGTCTCTCAAAGGTATCAATGAACTGAGAAGAACGGAAAAGGGAACTTCCATTACGAAGTGTCTCAACTTCACAGAAATTCGCCTGGGTGGCTTAAAATGATTTCAGCCTCGTGGTGATATGGCGTCGAGGATATAGAGAGTAGTAATAGAATAGAATCAGCCGCACAGACCTGTGTAGGAGTCTTTTTGCGCACCTAGAGCTGTAAGGCCTTCGCTGATGCTGGAGAGGATGTACAAAAAAACTCTAGGTTCGAGAGTGGATAAAAAGACCATGTGATCTTGCGCCAGACATTCGAGTAACATATAATACGTTGCCGACAGCTTCGGGTAATCCTATTAAAAGTAATATGCAAATGTAACATATGGACACGAGATGGATAATTGCAAAACTTATCACGATACATTAACCCACATCGACACTCCGTTCCCGCTTCGTGTAACTTATATCCCACGTATAATCTCGATAATATTTAGAAGCTTCTGTATTTTCGTTATGTTACTACAATCGACACTTACCAAAAGATCACTCTGTGGAATACTAAGAAGCAACTTGACAAAGGTGTTAAGAGCATTGTCCAACGCCTCGTCGCCATATAGCCTAAATACTCCGAAGTTGACGTAAGATCCACACAAGGCTGCCTTCAACATGCTGAAGCATATACTTATCCCTTTGAGTTTCAAGGGATAAATCTGATCCTTGGGTACTTCGACATTCAATATATGATTGCCGTAGCTACATATTACTTTACTGGCTTCGCGGAACAACAGGATTCCATTCGGAGAGGATGCGTCGAACTGCAATCGTTGACTTCTATTTTGTACTAACTCAGCGAATAATTTTAGGACGGGCGTTGTCACCTGCGGTTCGTGATGCCACAGCTCCACAGCGTGTAATAAAATCGGCGTATAATTTGGGTATCTAGTCAGAGTTCACACAGAGAATATATGATGTATGGGATGTCCGGTATACATAATGTAGAAAAATAAAAATAGATACGCATTAGACGTACATCCAATCAAAAAGCATCATGTAGGATATCTTGGTGTTGAACGCATAAGCTAAGCCTCGTAGATCTCTTGCTAGACCGATTAGCGCCTTCTTCGCTTCTTCCGCTGCAAAAAGAGGTGTGTCCGCAGCACCCATTAATTGACCGAGACTTTCCAGCGCACCTGCAATCAAACCGGAAGAAATTGTGCATGCCTCCTTGCATGAGATCGTGTTTTCAGCGAGAGAAACTGGTTACACGGGCGCGTTCGGGGCACGTCGACTTTTATACCTGTTAGAGGTAACATAAAGGTATGGAATCTCTCTTCGTCTTCGCCTAAATCTACCATCAGTAGTCTACCGAGGGACGTGTAGAACATTGATCTACAGCGCATTTCTGTCACAGCAACGTTGTTCCCCAAAAATGGGAAGTGTTCTCTCTGGATAATAAGATTTGATACGTTATTCGCGCTATTCATCATTAATTGTTATCTCGTAGCATAGTAGACTTCTACATGTACCGTATGACTGTTGAGCATAAATTGTACTTCTTCTAATTTGACGAGCTTACGAACACAGCTATAACCCACAGATAAGTCGTTTAGAAGCTGTAACGTTTTCGAGATAATTTGTTCGCTCCTACCCCAATATTTCAGGTTTGTTATTCTGTAAATTGCAATGCATTCACATTATTCCGTATCCAATATCCAATACGAGAAACATGTTCTTTCTTCGTTACTTACATTTTTCGGATAAAAATGCTCAGTACCATAGCCTCGTCATTAAGACCTAATACGTCCGATAATCTTCTGTACACTTTAGAGTTCTTTTGAACTTGATCGCCTACATAAATCTTCCGGAATTGTTCGAAAAAACTCAACATCGCTAATTCCAATTTTTCACAGCCACCTTGCGCGAGCCTGGAGTCTGTTAAATTCATCAATTGCAGAACTCGGCAAACCAACTCGCCGTCCATAGCGTCGAACTCTTCGTTGCTATTAAATGCGACTCTGCCGCCAATCACACCGCCTACGAGAGAAAGATTCAAAAGAGATCAGAAAAGATTAGAAAAGAGAGAAGATGTTTACATGTTTGTACTAATATTACTGATTTAATACTATTGATTAGTCGATCGACCGATATTACACATGCAGCGGATGATCTCTTTACCTATAATATACACAAGCCACGTGAGTTGTCCTTCCTGTATTGCAATATCAATTTGTTGAGTGGGAGTTGCTGTTTGCGTCAATAACTCTTGATACGTTGTTGCCGCTTGATCGAACAGTTGAACTAATAAAGTACACGTTTTTTGATACTCGCATCTGCCGATGACCGATATCTGTTCCAGCTGATGATGAACTACCCCAAGATCGTCCAGTGGATCCTCTAAATGCTCCCTCACTACCACCGCAACTGACTCGAGTCTCGATGTGATATACGCATTGGCTACTTCGGGAGTGTACGTGTTCAACAGATGCGGATCGTTGGCCTTCACGTACGGCATCGAAGACACCATTCTCTGCCAGAGAGTCAACAGGTAGTGTAGGCTGTTGGGAGCAAATTGCCACATTTGCAAGCTCTGCACCGTGAACTTAGCGATAAGTTGTATTGCTTCGGGATAATCCTCCACTATGACCAGTTCACCAAGTTGGAAGTTGCTTTTTAGTCGAGACAATAATCTACAAAACTCATGATAATTTCCCGGATCACTGAGACCCTGAGGATTTTGTAATATGTGTTTCACACCATTGACCAAGTGTGTCAGGAATTTCGCTCTTTCGGTATTGGAGAATAGACTTCGTCTGACGGAAGCTATTTGCACCAAGCACGAGAGCGCTAAACATGACAATGTATTAGGTAGACTGTGATACAGATCAAAAAATAATTTCAACGAAGTGAATTCCAAAAATGCGGGTCTCCAGCTTGTCGGGATTTGTACTGTATTAAGATCGTCCGAACTCTCGTCGGTGGATGTACCAATGAAGTCGAAGGTCAAACAATTTTGTGCAAGCTTCAACAGTTGCCTTATCAAACCATGCTGAGGAGCAAAAACGTATATAAGTATTAAATATTATTAAATATTATTATAGTATATATATAGTATTAAATATTATTAAATTTACACAAGACACCTTGTGCAATTAATTATTTATCTTATGCCAATAGTAATATCATATAATCTTAATCACCATACCTGTGCTTCGTCATTGAAATTCAAACTTTTGCAATTTTCACGAGCTGTACTCAACAAAGTACACGATAACCTAAATATTTCAAACAGTTGCGTGTCTCTAAAACTACTTGCTATTTTTCTATGTTTTGTCAGAGATCTGTTTGCATCTGCTTCTGATATTTGATTCATTTCACATGTCAATTGGGAAAGCAACTGTACTCCTATCATACAATGCTCCACCGACCCCTGATTGTTACAACAAAGTATTATTTGTGAGACAATGTTTACATGTAAGTTTGCGCCACACACATCGACATAAATATTTATGAAACATTGATAAAAGGTATGCGATAAATATATGTGTAAATATTAATCAACATTAAGTGAAGTATGTGCGTGTCGAACCTGAAGAAATTTGGTTACATCAGTGACTACATTCCTGAAGACAAACTCATCTTTATCAGAATCAAACCACCCAAGCTTTGATATCCTAGCAAAAAGTGTAACCAAAGCCTGTATCACAAAATTCGGTAACTTTGGTTGTGTTGCTAAGTAGTTGAGTACATAATTTCCTGCAAATATACATAAATTTAATCAATAGTGCATATAATATTGCATATATGATAAGTACAACCGAGCAAAATAAAAATTCACTCACGTATATCCAGCCTCTGTTGCATACTAAGTCCCTGTGCCGAACGTGATATCAATTTTGTCAGAGTCGTGGCAGCTAATAATTGAGCATAAGCCGAGTCCCCACGGTCCAAGAGTAGCTGGCACTTTGTAAGCGTATCTGGTGCATTTTGAAATGCGACAAGGGCCTTCTCCGCTTCAGCTCGATGCGCCGAATCTTGTGACTCATACAACTGTTTGCATAGCAACTCCAGCTGCCGTACTTCCTGTATGTGATCCATTCTTAATGGCACTGTTTAAAGTTGTTTCTTAATACTTCCATTTAGGAGCGAGACAAGTCTAAAAGTTCCATCATTATATTTCGTTTTTTCACTTCTTCAGAAATCTTTATTAATGACTTGCTATGTTAATGTCCAACGGATTTACAATTTTACAATATAGTAACATAACGCCTGCGGCATATAGCACGATTTCAAAGTTACGAGCGCATTCAGTTGGTGTTAAGGGAGAGAAACCTGAAGAAACAGCACGCACGCACACGCACACACGGTTGCACTTTGTATCTTACAAGTAACAATTTTCGTTCGAATTTCGAAACGTCCGATTACTATACAAAGTAATACCTTATTAACACAATTTACAAATATTATGTGTAGAAGACGAGTAATTGTGTGAGTGTGATGTAGAGAAATACACAGGCAGGTATCTCGCTCGCGACAGGCAGTACGCAACGAGAATTTCGAGGAGATACGAGAGATGTGTAGTTAAATTACTACGATAATATCTCTCGATGGGCCTACGTATAAATATCGTGAATCGTTGTTCCCTGTTTTCCTTGTCGTCTAAATGATAACTCTTACATCCGTGAGCTCTCTGCATACATCACACAGCAGCCACTACGGTGAAATCGCGAGAGACATCATCGGGATCTCTCACGGAGACGTCTTACAGCGGATGCTCGTCGTGTATCCGACACACACGTGCACGGTTAGACTTAAAAAGAAGCGGAATACCGTTGACATGAGTCGCACTAGGTGCTCTCGTCGAGCGAGGACCCCAAGAAGACACGTGCCACTTGACACGTAGGAATTTCGCAAAGCGCGTCTACGAAAGTTTAGGTTATGCGCGACCGACAGCTTGTAAATAACGGTGCGTAGTCGCATGAATGGCGATCCCGTCGCAAACAATGAGGATTGCGCGCGACGAGTGGGGGGTTCTTTTCGGCCGAACGCTTCTCCACGCACGTTTCGTCTCTTCTCGTCGACACGATGACGGGCACAGTAAACCGAACCTGAGTAGAGGACTCGAATGCAAAACGCGGCACGCGGCACGAAATTTGTCAAGATAAACAACGAGTGGAGTGACGTGCTCTCCCTGTCGTGAGAAACAGATAGATAGATAGATAGATAAGAAGAAAGGGGAAGAGAGAAAGAGAAAAAAGAGAGAAAGAGAGAGAGGAGAGAAAAATGTATACGTGTGTATGTGGAGTTCACGACGCAACCGTGCACCGCGAGTCGTACTTACGAGTTCGCACGGCGTAGTTATCGCGCGCCGGGCTGATTGAACGCGCGGCGCTTATCACATAAAAATCGTCCAAAACGTGCTATCTCGAAGTACCACGACCGTTAGCGGGACTCACGTCTACGCGCGAACTGCCGCCCCGTAGATCAGATGATTCCGGCCACCGCGAACTGTCCCGCAAAATCCAGCCAGTGTCCGAACCACACGGGGGACCACCGTTTCTCGACGTGAAACGAACGTGGGTGCGAGTGCGTAACACGGCGTCTGAAAATTTTCACAGTTCGACCGACGCGACGCGATCGCACGGCTGCGATATCTCGACGGACCGTCGCGAGATGTGAACTCGCGAGCGAGCGAGCGAGCGAACGAGAGAAAGAGAAAGAGAACAGAGTTTCTCCCTTAAGGCCGCGACTTCTCTCCCTCTCGAAGCCGTCCGTTGTTTCGCGGGAGCACGCGCGCGCGCGCGCGCGCACGCTTGACGATTTTACGGGTACGCACTGCTAACTGTCCCAGATCCGTCGCGACAACAGTCCGGATCCCCGAGTCTCGCTAACTCGCCCTAAATGTCACGGTAAAACACCACCACCAACCATTATCATCAACATTTCATCATCACCACCATCACCGCCACCACCACCACCACCACCACCATCGCCACCAGCCGCACACACACACACGCACACACACGTGGCGCGGTTCGACGCGACTCGCAGTTTCGCGCGATTTCGCCGCGCGTATCTCTCGCCGGCGGATTTTCCGTCGCGGCTCACCCGCTCCGTCGCGCCAATGACCCGCGTGGCGCCGATTCGCGAAGTACGCACGTTATTTTGATCGCCGACTCACCTGTTCCTCCGCCATTTTCGCTAGTTCGTATTATCTACAATGAAGCCAGGATCACACGCCAATCTCGTCTGCCGCCGGCGCATGTTTATCCCAATGCGACGATCCACGGGCCCCCACAGGGGGAGTGGCGTTTCGCTCACCGCTCTTGGCGCCATCTCCTCTTTGCTGAGCGAAACACTCGCATGGAAACGCACCCTACACCCGATGAGACGGTCTGTCATTTTCCTCCCTATAAAATCTTTTGTTCGCTTCCGCGGGGGAGTTGGATGTGGTTCCTGTAACTACGCATATTTTTTTACTTGGGGACTGTATACGCGTTGTCCCTGTTTCTTTTTTTAATTTCCAAAATCGTTGTGATTGGCGTAAGAGAAGGAGTGTAATAACTCTGCTCAGAGCCATATATTGAATGAATGAATGAATTTTCCTTCCTATTGAGTCTGGTCTTTATAGCTGCACTGCTGAACTAGTGCAATAAGTTAGAGTGAGTAAAAACTAGTTGGCTCATTTTAACTTATTAGTTAAAGTTTAGTAAAATATTAAGTTAAAGTGAGACAAACGTAGGTTTTCTCATGTGCCGGGGGGTTGGGGAGGGAATACGGGAGTAGTTCCCCCGACTCCCCTCCTCACGGTCCGACAGGTAGACATCCCGCAGGGATTTTAGTCGGTAAGAATCCGACATAACCCCCCCCAAGGGGAGGGGGTATCCATGATGGATTTCCCCTACGTGACCAAAAAAAAAAAGGTTTTCTTATGTCAACTTGTTGCACCAGTTCAGCAGTGCAGACAAAACGAACAGTCCTAATGACTGGCGTTAGAGCGTTCGGAGCCTATTGAACTATAAACTATTTTCCTTCCTTGTTTACATTACGCATGCAAGATGCGCGCGCGCGGGGAAGAAATTTTATATCTGGCCAATTTATATGCATATGTATACATGTGAAGAGATCAGCATAGATGAACTTTCGTCTGATAAAATTTGCATACATATATGCCGATGTTTACTGCGATATAATTGATCCAAATGTATCGTAATATTTAGTTGCGAGGGGGAGAGAATTAGTAAAATTAGGGAAATTATTTTACATTTTTTTTTTTAACTAAATTCGTTAGGAAGTTACGTAGAATTTTATCGCATCGATTCATCTGTTAGATATTTGTACAATATGACAAAGCTCGTTTGGTATATAAAAATATTGCGATATTAAAAGTAGAGAAATATATTTTTAAAACTAATAAATATGAGAAATCAACTTTTATTGCGTAATAACACAAAGTTCGCTCAAAAGAATCTAGCAATTTTAATATTTTCTCAATGCGATCAATACTTTTCTCTGATTAAATTGGAGTACTATCTTGATTTTATAACATAATTATGGATGCAGTCACATGCTTGTGTGTACATCATATACAGAAGGATAACAATAATGTGGATTTTATCCATGAAATATCCTTTGTCTTCTTATGTAGGTATTATATTTCGAATATAGCTTTTGCACAGCCTTTGTGTATCCTCTCTATTCAGTTAGTCCCATACACGGAGATTCATGCCGTTATTAACAATAAAGCATCACAATATCTTCTTACTAGTATCTCAGCAATACTCTCGACAATTGCAAATGTCCAAATCGCACATCTTGTGATACGAAGACTCCTTAAAGGTATAAGTTTCCACATTACTTCCTTTACTATTTTACACTTTGTACCAAGTGTGTGTGTGTGTGTATGATGTGTGTGTGTGTGTGTACACACATATATATATATATATATATCTACACACATGGTTCCAAGTTTTATAATATTCATGATTTCTATGTATATATGTCTAATCTCTCGTTCGTATCGTTCAGAAATGAATAATTTTTGCATGGATTTTCTTACAAGATCTGAGACGGAGAGAAGACCTAAAAGAAATCTTTCCATTATCGATGCCTCGAACAAAAAGATGTTTCCATATCCCAATGAAGAATATAGGAAGATGCAATAAACACGATTGCATTATATATAATATTTCTTTCTCTTTCTCTCTCGATAATACCTACATACGCATATTCATAGATAGTGGAAGGGCGATGGAGAATATTAATGCTCATAAAGAGTATGTTAATGCTTGACTACGCTCACTGTTATGCGCTATTATATTCCGTCTACTCACTTTGAAATAAGTCACAAACTCAAAAACTACTACGTATACTATAAAAGTATGCTGCTTCGCACACTCTATGATATCTCGTGTAGTGTGTGTGTGTGTGTGTGTGTATACATATACGTACCTTAAAATTATACAAAATTCCCATTCAATCGTATTAATTTCTCGAAATCACAATGTTTGTACCAGTTTGCGTGCGACTCGCAATTTCCAGCCTTTTTTACCCCTTGCATTTTCCAATATCTCGTTCAATGCCGAAACGCATTTGCAACGCAAACAAATTACGCACCAATATTCGTCGCAATTATTATTATTTCTTTCTCTTAAATGTGTATTATATAAGAGAGTAAACAAATTTTGCGTATTCTAAATGTTATTTTAGAATACAGCCTTACTGTTTCAATGTGTATTAATGTGTAAATCGTATTCTCTGTATATTTGTTCGTACAAAACTCGGAAATTAATCGTTTCACATACACATACACATGTACTGAAATCAACATGGAAAATCACATATATGCATGAACTCCTCTCATACCGAATATCTTATTGTAGTAGTTGTTGAAACGCTCGAATCGTCGTAACATCTTGAAACGTGTATTATTCATCATGTGACAATTCGTTCTGCATGATTCATTATATCTATTGACAGATGTTTATAAGCGATTATAATAGATCGTACCTGTACTAACCGTCATTACCTTGGCAAAAATAAGAAGCTTTATAAAGCGTTGACAATCGTTCGATGAGGATTTTCTGAGAGTTTATAAGTTTTCAAACTTCGTAAGAACGCTTGTACAACGTCTTTGGATTTTGAATGCTTTCGAATCGCTTATCAAACGCTTTATATAACGTTTCATGAAAGTTTTGCAATGTTGAAAAAAACGCCTTTCAAACGCTGCAACGTTGCTATTTCCGCTCTATAAACTCTCCACGACATCCGCAAACGCTAAACAAACGCTCGTGAAATTTCTTATTTTCGTCAGGGCAACGAAACGCATATTCGGAATATAATTCGGTATTTCACTCCTTTCATAGTTGCGAAGATGTTTGCTGACAGAGTTCTTTCGTCGTTTCTTTTACGTAGCTGAATTCGTTATCAAATAACCAATAAGTATCTTTAAATGTTATGATGTGACCAAAAATTTCGACCGCGCACTACTTTGTAGTTTAGCGGTAAGATTTAGGAATAACGACGTCCGTGAAACACAAACTACTTTGTAATGTCACAACCACACTTTGGACGCATCATACCAATGCCGCTCTATTTTACATAATTGAACTTTGTTCTTAAATATTCGATTATGTACACAAGTATAGATCGGGATAAAGATACATCTTTCGTTTACTCGTGTCCAAGTTATTTGGTTACGCTTAAGTTGCTTTTCGTAGCGAATTTCATAGTGAAATACCAAATTGCGGAGAAATTTTTTGTTTCTCTTACACAAAAGAGAAAAACAGTATCGATGTATATCCGAATAAGTGGCAATTTAGGCGAATATAAAAATGAGAAACTTGTATTTGTACAAAAACGAATAAAACATTTCAAACGAGATCAAATAGTCAAGATAAAAAATTGTGTTTTTCCCCTTTTTACAATATCTAAGATCATTTTAGAAGCACTACCACGTCTCCCTCTCTATTTGAATAATATATATATATAATAATAATAATATTAATAATAATAATAGTAAAATATTTACATTTCAATATATGTTTTAATTATATCTTAAATGCAAATAGCGTTGTATCAAACTGTGCAGAGTTTGTTGGCTCTTCACTTGCTTTTTTTAAATAATATCAATTTCACAAAGTTAACATCTATCGCGAAAGTTATTGTACACTCAAACAATGATTCCTATGATTCTGGACACGGATATATTAGCTTTTCTTCGAAAGACAGAGCAACACGTCAATCTTCGCGTGTCAATTTCCTCTTGCACATTCACGTAAGATAAGTACTCCAATCAAACCAACAATTTATAATTCCTCCTTATCATAAATTAATTATATAAAAAAAAATCATTAATTTACTATAATACATCTAACGTCTTATTAAGTGTGTAAGCCTCCCTAAAAACGTTTCGCTTTATTACGTATTGTAAGTCTTTTTCCTTTTCATTCCGTTTCTTTTATTTCACCATAGGAAAATGGTCGCCTTCTATCATGTCATAGAGCGTAGAAGAATTCCAGATATGGCCAAAGCAGACGATTGTTTACATCCATGGGATGTATTTTACATGGTTTTAATAACATACTGTTCGTACCTAAACGCAGTGCGTCAAGCGCAATATAAATTATAATTTATAGTTTCACACAGATCAGTCCGTATTTCCCTACATCCGAAAATTTCTTTTGCTCTCACAGCAAACAATAAATCAAATTCATTGACCAAGTTTCTTCTTATGTATCTGAATCTATTTAGTTGCCATTCACACTGGACACTGATTCTTTCGTTCTTTGCGCACACTATCGTGAACACATTGGATTCACTCACTAACCACTTGAGAAATAAGACCACCGCTGAAATAAAAACACGATGCGCAATTAAGTTTTTGCATTTACATTAGTCTGTTTATATGGTCTATCGAATTATACTTACAACTGTATCACAATAAAGGAATCTGTGTGCTGATGCGTCACTCGAATGCTGCAAGCAAGAGAATATTTTAGATAATTTCTTTCCATTTATCACTTAATATATACTAAAGATTTACAATTATACATACAAGGCGCGTTCGGGAAATAAGGACCAGTCGGCCACTAAAAGAAATGTAAATAAATATAAAAAACACTTTTATTTCCATCAAAAATATTTCTATAAATGTTTTATTTTTCCTTCTCTTAAACAAAAGACATTTTTCGTATCTTAACATTCGTTTTTTGATCTCACAGAATTTTGCCATTGGTAATCTGGACCACTTTGTGACAGTGTTTTTCAAGTCTCCTGCACTTAGAAAAAAGAAAAAAAGAGATAATACGGCGATTCTCACGAATTTTCAAGTTGACAGATTCAAGAAGTTCTATAATACTATTGAGCATGCCACTCCTTCCCTCATCGGTACTGTTTGTCCTTTTCTTAAAATCGGTATCACTGTCTGACTTTGCCTTTATTAATTGCCATTAGATCACACATCTCACGGTCAAATGACGGTGAATTTTAGTATTGTAAATTTAGAAAACTTGGAAAAACGAGAATTATCGCACAAATTTTACAGCTGGCGAGATTGTCGGATTCCCCATAAGTCACTCGCATGTGATATAAAACAGCAAAACAATGGTGATGACGTCGGTCAGAGCTTCTCGGTGAATTACTTGACGTTGGTGCATATATGCACCTCTCCCCACCTATGCCTCAATCATCGACTACTAACGGCCGAATTTTACCATCCGAATGCGCCTTGTATGTATATAAAAGCATGTGTACATAAAATTATGATATTAATACAATATAAAAAATAATATAACAATAATATAAGCACAATATAATATTAATATAACAGTAATAATATAGCTTTAACATCTAATGCAATTATTAAGATTCTATTATTATTTTGTATAAATTATATATAAAACAGTATAACTTCTCAATTATAACTGCTTTTTAACTTATAATTTATAATTATAATTTCTAGTATGAACTATAAAGAGAGATAAAAAATAAGATAATACTAACGAGATGGAGATCTAGTATCGGATTGATTTGACGTCCCGTCCATTGGTAATCGTCCGCTACATACATTTCCGGTTGATGGATTGAAATTAAGGAAGTCCCAAATGAGTATTGTATCATCATGAGATGATGAGACAATTTGGAACTCGTCAAATTGAAGGCGAAACACGCGTCCAGTATGCTCCTCCAATGAGAAAAATATAAGTGAGATTAAGTGAAAGATAGAATATATCTAACTCTGTACGTCAGATGCAACATTGATAACATGTAGCGATGTGACAGAAGAAAATACAGATATCTTACCACTAATGTACGTAAACATAATGTGTTGGCAAGTGCACGTGGGTCCAAAGCAGCAACCAAGTCCCAAACTTTAATTTTACTACAGCAACAGAAAATAAATGCCGATTAATATCTCTCGTCGTAATTCGTAATATAGAGTTATAAGAGTATTCTCAAGAAATTTGTCTTTTTTCTTCTTATTTAACGTTGAGATTTACCAATGTTGAACAAGAATTACAACGTAAGGCTATTGCATAAAGAATTATATAAAGAAGATGAATTTTCAAGTGAAATATAAAATACAACGTAAATACATATAGAAAGAATCACGTTGGGGAATCGAGACATCCGTCTCCATATATACTTACCCATCGTAAGCACCACTGACGATGTGCTTGCTGTCAAACCGAATGCACCTTACCAACTCCTCATGTCCCTCAAGAACACGCAGGCATGCGCCACATTCGATGTCCCACAGTCTAATAGTATTATCACTACTACCACTAACTACTAAACGATCCCTATATTGCAAACACGCTATACCGCGTTTGTGTCCATTTAATGTTCGCACAAACTCGCAACTGTACGTGTTCCATACTTTGATAGTCCTATCACCACTGGCGGAAACGATATATTTTTCGTCGAAGTCAACGACATTCACCGCTGCTCTGTGCCCGACTAGTACTCTTCTCAGCGCGATCTCCGTTTGCGACACCATATCCCAAACCGCGATCGAACGATCCTGAAAGCAAGAGAAGACAAGCCGCGCAGAGTCAGTAAACGAGAAAGCCCAATCGGACGGCGAGATTAAGAACACGCGAAAATTTATTCGTTCTCTCGACTAACCTTCGAACAAGTAACCATCATGCCGTTGTTAAATCGGAGATGCAATACCGCCTCGCAATGATGAATCAGCGTATTGACCATCTCTCCCGTGTTAGCGTCCCAAACTCTTACGGTACTATCGGAGGAGCCGGATATTATAGCTTTATCGTCGTACTGCAAACACAAGACGGAACCCGTGTGTCCCGTTAACACCTTGATACATTGCAGAGTGTTCCTGTCCCAAATTTTTATCGTGTTGTCTCTGAGCCCAGACACTATCTTCTGATCATCGTATTGCAAACAGTAGACGCCTTTCGAGTTCTCGCTACGGCAATTGATTCGCTGAAGATTGAAACGACCCATTCTCCAGTTGTTGTCTATACTGTCGATATCCTTGACGATCTTCGGGTAAAGGGATCTGTAGAAATTATGATTGGGATGACTCTCGCCTGGTCTCGGCTTGAAGAGATACTGTATCCTGAAAGCGAAACGCAGAGGAAAGAAACGATTATTTCGGCAAAACGTGTATGTATGTATCAAGTTATCCGAAAGACTTGTTAGTCTTCCATTAAATCTTGATATTAAACGAGAAGACTTACGTGTTGAGTACTAATTAAGAGGAAATTTCGGTATTAAAATAGGAAGTCCTCTCGTTAGACAAACACAATAAATCTTTTGCACCAACTTAATATGAGTGACTTCGAGATGAATTTTACCGATTTCCCCGGTAAAATCGCTCACCATCCTCTCCTCTCGGCGAGTCCTCTCCATACAGAATCCGTCCGAACCTTACGCTCGATCAGCTTCTTCCAAAGCATACCTTCGCTGATCACTCTGTGCCATTCTTTGCAGACCAGCTCGGCGGCGATCAGCGAGTCCGCGTCCAAGTACGAAAGGATACTCTCCGCCACATGGTCCAATCCTTTTTCTGCGAAAGCAAATTCGTTCGACGTCGTCGTTAGAGATACGTTTGAAGACATGTGACAGCTACAGATATGTAGGATGAACACGACAGACGTGACAGTGAGTCGCGTGCAATCGCGACGCTTTACTCACTTGGCAGAAGCGAGATGAAGTCTCGCTGCAACATCGGCTTGAGGTACGCATTGATGTGTCCGTGCTGATAGTGACACATCCGCGCCAACAGTTGCTCGACGAAGTGCACCTGCTCCGGTTCGCTCCATCTCTCGAAGAGCTTCATACAGATTTCTCTTTCCTGGCCGTAATGCGCTGATATCCCCATAGGTTCTTTCTTGCGGGCGGGATCATAGAGTATCGTTACTGGATACTGCAACAGAAGGACCAAGGGAACGAATTACATTTTTATCGCGCTCAAGTGTCAATTTCTCACTTCACGAGGCTCTTCCGCGACAGGATCGGCGTCAAGGTAATACACGCTTTTCGTCGAGGATAAATAAACCGGAATAAACCTCGTCAGATTTAGGGCCAGTTATTCCAACTTCTCGGTAAATCAACTGATTGTTTTTTCTTCAGTTTAGACGAAGACAGACAAATGATTTGACTATCAGTTAACTTACCGAGGAGTTGGAACAACCTGTCCTTAGCGCGATCCAACGGAATAATAATCTCTTTTTTTCTCCAACTGAATTCAGGGATTCTCCTCACGCTCTTGTTCCTCAAGCGCAACCTCAAGCTGATCAATCTCAAGCAAGAGATCAGTCTTGTCGACGTTGCGTTATTGCCGACGAAATCGACACATACGACGTTAAGGAACGGTATCCTCGAAAGGAAAAGGACAAAAAAGGCCATCGCGCGTCTATATTCCAAAGATGCTCGAAAATGCGCGACAGTCGGACTCGACTCACCAAGTGACCCGATAAATAGTTGCGTACAAGTTGCGGTGCAACACTCGCGAAGCTAGAGTCGCGGATGCATCTTGAGGTAGCGCGAAGTACCGGGTTCTTGACCCTTCCCTCTCATTCTCGCTCCATTCCCCTCGCTCGTCGTGTTCCGTCGCGCGCGCATGAGAGCTTTTACAAATTAATTCGTTTATATCGTGCGTGCCGGCTTAAACGCGCGAACGTCTCTCGCTCGTTTTCCTCATTAACGTAGAAATCGTCGCTAATCGCGTCTGTCGGACGACACGTGAACGAATATTCCCACCACTTTATCCGGCCAATTATCCTAACGAAGACGCGCCTCGAGCTCTCGATGCAAATGTTAATTGTGGCATGGATAAGGACAATTCGCGTGGTGCGTCGATAATTTGTAATTATTAGTTGGCGAAGAAAATGGCGCTTTTAATGGTATTTAACTGCGGCATCGAGATCTGCTGCTGCTGCTGTTCGATCGACAAGTGAGCGACGGTAATTCAAACGTGACGATAAAATGTGCTTTTAACGAAAGAAAGTGGCCGTTGTCGTCGTCGCACATGCCTCTCCTGCGCTTTCACCGTTTACGTCGTTTTCTTATCGTCGATATCTGTCATCGTCGCCGATACGGCCGACCGTTCAATCACGTGTCAATTGCGATGCAGATACGAGGGACACCGCATCGTCAAGGATATCCTTTGACGCCGCGGTAGAAGAGAGAGAAAGAGAGACAAAAATAGCACGTAAGAATGTCTATATTGATCACACCTGATCCTCGCGCGTCGTATCCTTTGACCGAGATGTGTTTTCCCCGCATTATGTCTCCGAGTGTATCGATTAAGTGTTGCTTCCGCTTAAAAGGTGACGCGCGAACCGCCGAAAGAAACATTCCGCATACAAACGAATCAAGGACGTTGCTATAATTACCAACGATTAAGTTGTGCTCGACTGCATTAACGTTGACGGGGCGAACTTTCAGTTCAGAGGAGCGCTCGGCATCTCGGTAAAGGCTCAGTAAAGGAAAAGCTCGTGAGCAATCCAGGAGGATCTCTTATCGACATGAGAGAAGAGATCGCTCCTTTATTGCTCGCGCGAGGCGATTTTCAGATTCCCGGGCGCGCATCTCGCATCTATCGGAAATCGTTCGTCATCCGAGTCTCCAGCCCGGCTCCGCTCCAAGTGTTTCGGGAAATTCAGAGACGTATGCGCGCGAGAGACTCACACGCTCGCATTATCACGTTAATCTAATTTTAACGATAGCGCGCGTATCTAGCGCGCGGAATCTCGCGCGCCGCGCCGACGACACGCAGAAAGAATGCATCGCACGGGCGTAACGCGACCCGCCCGAAAATTAGCAAATAATCGCGAAAGGCAACGAGAATTACGATATAATCGTGAGCGTCCTCTTGACAGCCAGAAGTTTCGACCGGCAATTCGTCGCTCTTCCTCGGTCGCTTGTGAATTATCACGACGAGCCGGTTATCAGCGCTTATCAGCGCGCACGTGTGCATTCGTTACTCTTCTCGACGAATCACAAAAAGAACGGACGTGACGATGACTCTATTTCTCTCTCTCTCCTCTCTCTCTCTCTCTTCCCCCTCTCCCCCCCTCTCTCTCTCTCTCTCTCTCTCCCCCTATCTCTATGTACATATCGTAGAATTTGAAAGGTTTACCCACGCGCGAGCATGTATACATACACATATACACGACGCGAAACACGGTCGACGATATTTTTATAATCAGAGGGTTACGTTTGCGCGGAGAAAGTGCATCCACGAGCGATGTCGCAACGCACCGCGAGAGAGGATTCTCTCCCAGCGATTGTCGACTGCGAGATATTGTCAAAAAGGATGTCCCGCCGGTCGCTCGCTCGCTCGCCGAAGAGAATTTTCACATGTCACTGTCGTCGCCACGTCGTTTCCACCTTGTGTCTCTTGCTTACCCTCCCCAATGAGCAAGCGCATCGTCCGTCCGATACACAGGGTGTCGCAGTTCGTGAATAAATAACGGAACGTTTCTCTTTTTTAATTTTCAGGCGCCGCTTCGACGGCGTCGCAGAGGCGGCACGTGAAAACGACACGGTGCCTCTGACGAGACTGACTTCAACTCTTTGAGTCCCAAAGTGTCTCCGAAGATATACGACGCGTAATGCCTCTAAAAATGGAAACATTCTCATCGAGACTGAATAAAGTGCCTTTGGAGCTCTTCTCACTGACACAGTCTGCCTATTTTGAAGCGAAACCGCTTCCATCTTTAAATTTCCTAATTCTTCGCGACAAAACGTTGTAATTTGTGCCGCTGAAATCGCTTTCCCAATCCAAGTTTTCAAACAAGATTCTCATCTATCGTGTATGCCGCTCTGTTAAAACGACGCAAAAGGGGAACGCGAAGGATTACTTTCCGGGTTTACGAGAGGAAGCTCCCCGGCGCGTATTCGATTCTGAGACACCCCGTGGACAAACCCGGTCGTTTCCTTTACGTACCGCGTGACGTGATCGTCGCGCGCGCGCGCCGCAAGTTTTCATTCGAGCCGTTATTCGTGCGCGCTCGCGAGACACGCGAAAATCCATTTACGCTCTTCAGACGAACGATCGCAGTTCGCGTAGTGCGCTAATCGCATATACTTCGCGTCTGACCTACTTTTGCTGCATGCCCCCTACCTCAAGAAGTGAAAACCGTCATAAAAGACCCATATTGCGTTAATGAAGGCTAAGCTCTCTTGCGCGCCGCGGAGAGAAAAAACGACGCAAGATAAGGAGAACAATGCGATCGAGCGGCGATCAATTTTCTTGACGGTGTTACGTTCCTAAGAAGTTCGCGACGTCAATCGTTTCTCCGAAAATCCGCGTCCACGAAGTTCGAAATCACACCCTGGCGGTGACGATTTTGTCGTTAATTTTGGGCCGAGGACAGCGCGGTCAGTTTTTGTGCACGCGCGTTCTCCTCACGAGAAATCCGCGTTATCTGTACTTTTTTTTTTGTCAATTCAAAGTAACGCACCACGGCAATGACTCTTTTCCGTCCTTATTATTTTGTACCCAAAAAAAAGTATTCTATCTGTAAAATGATTTTTCTCATAGTCTTATATTTTAAGTGAAGCCTTTTATACAAAAAGGATTCCTCTTTCGATAAAGCGATTAAAGTGAATCATTCATCTAAAATTTATTAGATATTATTCTGTTTTCCTCTTATTTCAAGAGGATTTCCTCTTATATCAATTAATTTTCCTCTTATATGAAGAGGAATATGTTGATTTGAAGGTCAACTTCTTTTGTTCAGTCTCTCTCATGCTCTATCTCCAGACATGAAAAAATAACCATATGCTCATAGGTCAGAATATTTGGAACATTTTTAAAAAAAGTATGTGTTACTGCAACATACAACGAAGATAATTTATCCATATTTGATCAATACAATTTATAATATACAATATACAATTTATAATCTATTGCAAAAAGTTGAATAATATATTCTTTCTTTTAACTATATTTCATACAATTAGTTATGATGCTCTTTATTTCATTCGTGCCTATTTATTGTAAAACTGGAGCCAGAAGTACATTTATATTACTTTTCGTTGTACATCATAATTTTTTTCAAATTAACCAGTAAGAATAAAGTGCAGTAGGAATAAATAACAATCCTCTTAAAAAAAGATTAAATAATCTGTATATAAGAGATTTATATTAAAATCAATAAGATTTGTATTACACATATAACATATAATCCCTCTAACTTTAAGAATAATGTATTTATAATATTTTTCTCTTAATCTTAGAGAAATCCTCTTGAAGCCATATATAAGAGTAAAATCCTCTAAAATTTAGATCCATTTGTTCTGAAACTACTTTTTTTTAGTGCTTATTTTATTTCCTGCTAAAAAAACGCGCAATCTATTCTGCTCTCTACCATTTCCTGATGTAAATACGACCGTCATTATATTCACCTCACTTCTCTTGCATTCAGAAGTCGAGCTACGCTCCAACGAATGAATATTCATTAAATTATAAGATGTAAAACGTCATTATAAATCCGACATACTGACATACACGCGCCAGCCAAGACAGAGTCTCCAACGAGTCTCCTTCTCGGAATCCCAATTTCTCTCGTTCGATTATCGAGCTGTTAGAACGAAATATCGAATTTCTCGCCAGGAGCCAAAAGAGGAAGCTCCGAGCAAGAGCGAGCTACCGCCGAGAAATATTTCTCGCGCGCGAGCCACAAGTCGCGCTAAAATTCGGACCCAAGATACGTGCTTTATCGTGCCACGAAGCGAACACCGTTACCAGCCTGGTCTATTGTGGTGACCTACCCTACCCTCCACGTCCGCGTGTCGTATCGCCGGACCGTGGACAGCCGGTCCTTGTTACGTCACTGTAACAGAATACAGAAGAACGAGTCTAGCGACTGATGCGCGCGGCGCGATCACCTGAAAACGCTTCAAGTGCTCCCCGAC